GGTCTTGGGTTTGCTTTTAGGTGACCCACCACGGAGAGCAGTGGAGTGAGTCCCTGAGGAGGCGGGCAGAGGTGCTGTCCCGCTTCTGTGTACATTTGAACATTTTCGTGTTACAAAGTTTAAGAACAATTTTGACCTCTGAAGAGTTAAGAACATACTCAATGTTTTCTATAAACAGTGCAAAAAACCTACTAAGCCTGGCAGGGCAACTAATGAGAAAGTGAAAGAAACAGGGTCTTCTAGCTAAAGGAGAGAAATTCTCCCCCTGTAATTCACCATTTTGTGAGGAGAAAGATATGGAGAATGTGCATAGACGAGAGATAGAAAAGGCCATTTGCTCCCTGAAATTGGTTAACCAGGATAAAGAACTAAGTTAATTATTCACTGATTCCATGAGGGCAAATAGCTCCAAGTATTGAATTTGTTAGTTGTACCTACCTAATAAAGCCTGAGGAGAGACCACAGCATAATATTTCTACACAAGGGTGTGCTGAATATGGTCTATTATATTGGAAATACTTTGCAAATCAAATTAAATCTTGGTGGATAAAAGTCTTATTTCAAGTCATGCAGCTATTCATTTCTTAACTATTTGGTTTGATTTGAATCATGCTAATTTTGAATTCTATTGCTAAGACACCTGCATAAGGAAGCAGCCCCCTGGCAAAAAGAATTCCCGGAGTTCTTGCCTAGGGTTGTCCCCAGCCAGCTGAGCAACTGGGACAAATTATCCAGCCTCCTGGAGGCCGTTTTTTCTTGTATAAAAAGAGCACAATAACACCTGCCACGTGGAATTGTGGAGAGGTGAAATTCGCCAACACGTCCAAAATTGCTATTGCAAAGTCCAATCAACAGCAGTAGTTATGAGAATTGTTCTGAAGCTCAGTGTTAAGTTAGGCTAGCACAGGGGCTGGCAGAAGATCTTGGTCTTCGTGGCCAGGGTGGCCGAGGTTAAGGTCTGGGGCTGGAGGGTTTCAGGGTCTTGGAACGGCAGGACTCACTTGCTGACTGTGCCAACTGAAGCCTTTTGGTTCTTTAGTAATTATCTGATCTATTAATTAATGAAGCTATTAATTAATGTGATTCTCCAATCTATTAATGAGTGGATCCACTAGCTGATATAGCCAATAAAATAGTTTCCAAAGGCACATTAAAGTATTTTAAAAGATAAGCTGCCTAACTATAGTCTGAACGAATGAGCATAATTTAAAATAAGAAATATGAACTACTTGCTGGTTCCTGAGTAACAAGAGATAATCCCAGATACATGGAAGAATAGCAAATTTTAATCTACATTTTACATTTAAAATTCCAGCACTAACATGGAAATCAGCCATGCCTGCACACAATGGATCTTTTATGAAGTGAACCCCACACCCTGATCCTTGAGAACACGTGGGAGCAAACCCACCTCCTGACGTTGCTAAGAGCCCTGCTGTCCACCTCAGTCTGCAGTAAAAAAGAAGTGATCTTTAAAACATTTTTTTCCTGCTTATTAAGGACTAGGTACCACAGAACACTTAGAAACAAACTAAAATTATATAAAAAGTAAAACATTTAATCCCACACTCAGAAAAAAAACATTACCAACTTTTGGTCAACTTCATTCCAGTCTTCTCTGCATAACTTTCATCTCTACTTGAAGTGACAGTGTATTCAATTCTATATCCTGCTTTTGACTTAAAACACCAAACAAGCACTTTCCCTCTTGTTACCAATTCTCAGCCTTTTCTAAGACTGAACAGGACTTAGCCATATGGAAGTAACCGATTTGGGGCCTGCCCTGTTGCTGGCTGGCCCTATTGCTTCCCATTCGGGGTCTCCACTGTGCCCAGCTCTGCAGGGATCCCTGCATCCCTCAAGCGTCTGCTCTCTCCATATCACAATAGCAGCATCTACAGGGTCTGCTCACTGTGCTCGGCCAGCAGCGAGACCCCCACTCCAGTCACGTCTCTGAAAAACAATAATACCAGCAGGAACGTTAAGAAGATAGGCCTCGGGGATGGTGTTGTGGCTCAGCAGTAGAGCGCTCGCCGGGCATGTGCGAGGCACTGGGTTCGATCCTCAGCACCACATAAAAATAAGTAAATAAAATAAAGGTATTGTGTCCAACTACAACTCATATGTATGTGTATGTGTGTGTGTGTGTGTGTGTGTGTGTGTGTGTGTATATATATAAAATTTTTTTAAAAAAGAAGAAGATAGGCCTCCATAAACTTCAAACTACTGGGTTATCTCTTCTCCACTATATGGTAATCCAAGGTCAGCAAAATGGGGACACGCCGAGTGGAACAAACTGTTCCTAGGGTCCATGAGCCCCCAGGCAGCACTGAGGCTAGCGAGTATTAACTGCAGGCTAACAGTCAAGGACACCACCCGCAAAGACGGCCACATCAGGCACCGGCTTCCAGCTGAACCACCTGAGCACTCTGAATGTTCCCTGGCTTCTAAGGCAGCCTCTTCCTTTGTGGTGCAACCGCCCACGCTGTCACCTAGGCAAAGAACAAGGATACACACCTGCAGCTCCAAACATTGAGCCTAGAGTTTCTGTCAGTTAATCTTGGGGTTGGGGGAGTCCCTTAATATTTAAAGCTCAGAATGCCTGTGTCCAGCCTATCTCAAAGCTGTAACAGGAACAAGAGCCAAAATATTGCAAAATGATAACAATAACAGAGGTCAAGCATCCCTGATCCAAGAATCCAAAATGCCCCCCAAATCTGAAACTTTTTGAACACTGACATGACACCACAGTAGAAAATTCCACACATGACAGGTTGCAGTAAAAATACAGGCATGCAGAATCACTGTAGAAAACTGCTGCTCCGCCTGGATCCGGAGTGGCTCCCAAAGGCCCTGTTTTCATGGACTGTTCCCAGCTTGGGGCTACTGGAAGACATGGGCCTAGTGGGAGGTCTTCTGGTAAGTGGGGGCGTGCCCTGGAAGGGCACATTTTTTATCCACTCTGAGGCCGTGAGGTGCATGGATTCGTCATGCAATGTCACCATGATGTGTTGCCTTGCCACAAGCCCAGAGCCATGACACTAGTCAATCATGGACCAAAACTGTGAGCCAAAATAAAACTTTCCTTTTTATGAGTTGACTGTCTCAGGCATCTGCACAGTTAATGGAGAACTGATTAACAAGATGACCTTCTGGTACATAAGGTGTATAAGAAACATACATAAAAAAAAAAAAAAAGAAACATACATGAATTTTGTTAGGATTCATCCCCAAGATATTTCATGAAGTATATGTAACTATTTCAAAATCTGAAAAAGTTAGAAATACTTCTGATCCGAGTGTTTCAGGTAAGACATGCTTGACCTGTAATAACACAGCCTCTCAAAACCCTAACGTATCTCACAGAGGAAACTCTACACCAAACTGTGGCTATAGAGTGCAGGGTCAGGCCACGGTGCAACGCCATGGCCAAGGGGCAGCTCTCTACAGAGGGGCACCCACAGCTTCTGATGCATATGCTCCCCTCCCCTGTCCTCCCCTGCCCTCCCCCCCTTAGCTGCACAGTGCGCAGAAACCACGCCTGCTCCCGGGAGACCTCCCACTCTTCCACTTTCTGTGGACTCCATCTCTCAGTGACCTGCTGGCTTTCATGATTAGATTCATTTTCACTTATGAAGAGCAAGGTATAAAAAAAAGTCAGGTAACTATGAAAAAAAAATCATTTCTCTTAGAAGAAGTTTTACAAACACCAAGCTTCCTCATAATCAAGAAAATAAAACTCCTGGGCAAGCCCTTTATATTGTTTTTCCCCTACTTTTCTAAAAATAAAATTTTAGAAATTTGAATCTTCATAAGGCAACTGCTTCAAATGTACCCTCTGGGATACAGTCGTCATCACATTTATTTTTGGAAAGCTGAGTAGGTCAAGAATACCTAAAATAACCTGGTTTCTATTTAAAATACCCTGATCACTTTGCAACTCAGAAGGAAAAAAAGATTACTTAAAACAATTATTCAAAATATAGACATCCGCTAAGCATGTGTATCTCACACACAGTGGGTCAGGACTCCCCTGAAGGACAAAGAGAGAGATTTCCTTTCCCAGATGTGTGAAAACGCAGCCAAGTACTTGAGAAAAAAATTAAGAGATACGCTGGACAGTCATCTCCACGCCAAGAAAAACACATTAACTGTGATGTGATCTGCTGAATCCAAACAAAAAAGAAAGGCATTTTTCAAGGGATCTCAACATGTTCTTACCAAAGGAACCTTTCAGCCATGACGGCAGCCACCGTGAACACGTTGTGGCAGAAGAGCAATGGCACCCATTCAGTGCAGGCCTCGGGGCCCACCCAGTCAGGGAGACGTTTCCGAGGTATTTATTCCCCAAATTTTAAGCAGTACTTACCACAAATACTTTTTAATGCCTCCTTCCCAGGAGCCACAGGACATGAAACGGTGACTTAAATTTGCCAGAAATCCACTGGCACAGACCTCTGCACAGGTGCCCCCGGCCCCACCCCATGGCAGAGAAGACTCGAGACAGAAGGGGAGGCCAGGAGGAGTGCCCCAGCCAGGCAGGGAAGTCAGTGACACCATCAGGACTCAGAGCTCCTCAAGGAGGGGCCCCACCTCTGTGCCCTGGCTGGGGGCCTCCTGGGTGGCGTACATCAGTGAAGCGTGTGCTGTGCGAGCTGAGGGCACAGACAGAGATGGGAGCTGGCAGCAACCAATCCCTGCGGGGCCCTCCGAGGGGCCACAAGGAGCGGTTCCTCTGCAGGCTCTAGCCCCACTGCCTTGATGAACACGGATCTCAGCAGGGCATGTGGACAGTCCCTTCTCCGACCCAAAGAGCATTGAATGACCACACAAATGCACACCCCCTAGGCAGTGTGATTCACCAACATTGTGCCAAAAATACTGCCACACTCCGCGTGGTTGTTTTGACAGGGCGAATTGTTGTACTGTGATTCTGAGTTTTGCTGCTGTCAGCAATCTCAATGAGACCCGTGCCGCCCTCGTTCCTGAATAATGCCCACCTTTGGTAGGTCCTTTCCTGTTGAGCACAGCCTGCTGCTCCTCAGTGATGTTCAGCCGCCGAACCACGTCAGCCAGCGCTGACTTGAGCAGCTGGATGTCGTCTTCCTGCATCTGGACCCGCTGCTCCAAGGAGGCGATGCGGTCTGACACCTCCATGCTACTCGCGGCAGACGCGCTGTCATCTAAGCCAAAGGGAAGATGGGGAGAGTTTTAGACGCTCTCAGAGCAATCACATCTCCAAACACAGGCTGGCACAAGGCTCCAACTAGGCTGTAAATTGTGCATTGTTAATTGTAATTTATAAACTGAAAATGAAAATTGTAATTTATAAACTCGAAACTTGAGAGACACAGACAGAATGAAAAGAGCGCAAGAGAAGGCAGATCTGTCCCAGCATTGCCACGTGCTCCAGCCCTCCCTCCTCCCGTGCTCCAGCCCTCCCTCCTCCCGTGCTCCAGCCCTCCCTCCTCCCGTCCTCCAGCCCTCCCTCCTCCCGTGCTCCAGCTCTCCCTCCTCCTGTGCTCCTTTCATTCTGACTGTGCCTCTCAAGTTTCAACTGTGGTTTTAACTGCTGTTGTTCTTTTCTGCAGGTTGGCCAACTTACTGTCTTTTCTATGACATTAAGAATTCGGAAGTAGAAGGGATGCAGGCATCTGTCCACTTCACCTGCACAGAAGTCTGTTCTGCCTGGTCTGCTGGCTTGTGTTCAGCCATGCTGACGGTAGGCCACACAGGGCTATGTCAGTTGAGTTTGAAGAACAAAGTGCCGAGTGGCCCAGTGTACTTGGTACACAGCATCGCACCCCCCCATGCCCCACAGCCAGGCGCTCGGGCATCCTTCTGCCTCTCCGGCCTCCCTGCCACTGTCCTCCCCTTCGCCTACCTTGCTCCAGGGGGCTGGCCTCTCCTCCCCTCGGGATTTTTGTTTCTGCATTGCCTTTGCTTGGGCTGTTTCTCAGCCAACTTTTTGCATGACCAAATTCTTATGCTTGAGACTCAACTCAAATAGGAGCTTTTTGGAGAACCTTCACAAAAACTTTATCTAAAGCTGTTACTTTCTATTTCATTGACCTTATTTATTGAACAGCATGTTCTAAAAACTATAATGGTCTTGCTGGCATGTTCACTGCTACCTTTCCACGTAGAATGTGAGCATTGTGGAGGGATTTCTGCTTTGGGGCATGTCAGACTAAAAGACCCTCCTGGAAGCACCCTCCACCCCATGCAGAAACCAAAAGCCTGAAGTAGCATTAAAAAAAAAAAAAAACTATGTGAAGGTACAGGGAAGAGAACAGAAACATACACTCTGGTGGGCACTCACACTTGCCCTAGTGGGAAGCTCACTCACCCTAATGAGAGCTCATAGATTCTGATGGGGAGCTCACACTGAGACTCTGGTGGACAGCACACTTAAGACTATGGTTGGGAGCTCACACTTGGACTCTGGTGGGCACTCACATTTAATCTCCAGAGGGATGCTCACACTCAACACTGAAGACTTCGCATTCACTTAGAAGAAGTAATGTAGGAAACTATACAAGAAGCCTGTCTCATTGCTTTTACCCTGGGGCTAAGCAGTACACTCAGTGGTGAGGGTCCAAGTGGTAAACTTTGAAATATTTTTGCCCTAAGAAATTAAAAAAAAAAAAATCAAGTCAGGAAACATTACTGGAAAAGGTGGGGAAATCCTACAAGGAAAAAAGCAAGAGAAGGGTCCCCAAATCCCATCTGCCCAAATCTCTGACTGATCTGTGAACTGCACACATGGAACAGAGAAGTACTCCAGCCAACCGCAAAACATCAGAACTTAGAGTGGAGCTGTTGGCCCAGAAATAGGGTCTGTAGCTGAAGTCCAGACAAGAACAGCACCTATTAACACAAAGGAAACACCACCAAAGAAAAAAGATATCATGTAGATGACACCATGTAGCTTAACATTCACAATGCCCAGCACATAATTCAAAATAACCAAACACACTAAGAATAAAGAAAAGGAGCACATTCTCAAGAGAAGAGAAAATAGAATTGAGTCCAATCTCAAGAGGAACAAAATATTGAAACTACCAGATGAGGAATTTTAAATAGATATTATAACTATTCTAAAAAGGAAAATTAACATTCTTTCAGTGAATAAAAATTCAGTAAAGAAATGGGAAATCCCAGCAGAATAGAAACAATTAAAAAGAGAACCAAATATACATTCCAAAACTTATACATATATATAACATACACACAATTTCTGAAATAAAAAGTTCACTGCATGGACAACAACTGAAAGGACACAAAGAGGAAAGATCAAGAAAACCTGAAAGCAGGCATATCGGAAGCAATGAATATGAAGGACACAGAAAAAAGCCTGACCAAAAATTAAGAGAGCCGTGGGAATCTGCTAGGCACTCTCAGCAGTCCAACACACACTTAAATGGCACACAAGGAAAAGCAAGAGAATAGGGCAAAAACAAAATCTAAAAAACAATGGTCCAAATATGCCAAATCTGATGTGCAGGAATATACAATTGCAAAATGCTAATCAAATACCAAGAAATAGATGGCCATGATTAATTTCTCTAACAAAAAATTATATGGGTACTGTTTATGATATTTTTAAAAAGCTAGACCCAACTATAAGCTGTCAACAAGAAATGCACTTCAATATGAAGATACAGATAGAATGGAAGTAAATGAATAGAAAAAATACACCATGCAAACAGTAAGCAAAAGAAGGCTGGACTACTATTAATGTCAAATAAACTAGGTGTCTAATAAAGTGTATATTAGACACACAGTCATTTCACAATGAAAAAAAGGGATAAAAACCAGGAAGATTCAACAATCTAAACATGTGTGTGCCCAATATAGAGCTTCAAAATACAGGAAGCAAAATTTGACTGAGTTGAAATGTAAAATAGATGATTCTACAATTTTTCCTGAAATTTTACACCCCATCTTTCAGTGACTGATGAACAACTAATAAAAAAAAAATCAGTGAAGTCACAAATAATCTAATAATATAAACAACACTTACTTGCTACAGACAGAAAACCACACCTATATGACAGTATATATGGTACATTTGCCAGGATACATCAAATCTGAGCCATAAAACAGATTTGAACAAGCTTACAGATTTAAAAAGTACATTTCTGACTACAATGGTATTAAAATAAAAATTTTAAACAATAAGACAACAAATATTTGTAAGTTAAATACTTCTTAAGTCAAAGAAGAAATCACAGGAGAAATTAGAAAATTGTTTCATTGAAAGGTAATAAAAATACAATGTATCAAAATGTATGAGAGGCAGCTAAATCAGGCTTTGAGGGAAATCAATAGCTTCAAATCCCTGTATTAGGAAAGATTGATTAAATGTAAGTTTCACAAAACAGGGGTCTTTTTTGCTAGTTCACTGCTCTATGACTTGGTCCCTAACACAAAATAGGAACTCAATAAATATTTGGTAAATAATTGAAAAATGGGTAAACAATCATTTTTAAAGCATGCATTAAATTAGATGATGGGGATATATAGATGACTGATTCACTGACCCATATCCTTAAGAAGTTCTCTGTCGAATGGAGAAGAGACATGCCCACAAGTTTTAATTGATACATTGACAAATTGTATACAATTGATAAATTGTATAATTCAGAAATACACAAAGTGATAGGCAAATACACAGATGGGAACATTAACTATATCTGGAAAAATAGGATCATGTAGGGGTTGGTTCCTATATGCAAGCTCTGTCAACTCTATAAATAATAGGTAACTGTTTCATACACAGAAATATTTTTTAAGTGTGTCTGTGATACCTCTGAGAAAGAATAACACATTAAATATCTGTAAATTAACAGAACTTATTAACTATCTAAGTACATTTAAAACTTCTAAACTCACCTGGACATGGTGGTGCATACCTGAGGCAGAAGGATTACAAATTCAAGGCCAGCCTCAGTAACTTGGTGAGACCCTATCTCAAGATAAAAAATAAAAAAGGCTAGGGATGTAGTTCAGTGGTAGAGAGACCCTTGGGCCCAATCCCCAGTGACAAAGGGGAGGGCTGCAAGATGTAGTTCAGTGGTAGAACCTCTGGGTTCAATCCACTGTACTACAAAATAATAATTATTATTATCATAAAACTGATAAACTCTGGGGAAAAAAACATTGCGTCAGTCCTTTTTCTAACTTTATTTTATTACTTTTTATTTTTTTGCAGTGCAGGGAATCAAACCTAGGGCACACTCAAGCTAGGCAAGCATTTTTTCATTGAACTACATCCCCTATCTCATCAAAGCCTTTTAAACAGTATATCCTAGCCATATCTCTTTAAAGAATCAAACTATGAAGCCTGAAAAACTTGAAATATCCTCTCTCACTCTCCTCCTCTCCTAGAACTCTAGGTGTCATTTCCGTGCTCATACAGAATCCCATTGCATGTCAGGAGTACTGGTGGGTCTCTGGGCCTGCCTTTCCTCTGTCCCTCCCTGTAGATGAAGGCACACACACAGTGCATTTAGACTCAACAGTGAGAAAACCAACAACCCAATTTAAAAAATCGTGAGAGAAAACAGGCAAAAGACTTGAACATGATAAGATGCTCAAGGTCATTAGTCACCATGGAAAGCACACTGAGCAAGCAGGTGCATGAAGGTGCAGACCTGCCACCCCTGCACTCGGAGGGGGTGGCAGGTGGATTGCTTGAGCCCATGAATTCGAGACCAGTCCCAGCAAAGTAGTGAGACATGTCTCAAAAGAAAGACTGGAGATATGGCAAGCATTGCAGTGGTAAAAGAATGCTGACACCACCAAATGCAACAACATCCAACAAAGGAAACCCTCCTCCGGGCAGCCAGCACACAGGGCGGTCTGACCCCTTGGAAGGCAGGTTGGCACTCTCACAGAGTCAACAAGCACTTTCCTTAGGACCTAGCTCTTCCCAGGTCCTTACTCTAGAGAAACGAACACATCCAGATACAGGTTTGTCTCCGTGGCTCTACTGGTGAACGGACAGAGTGTGGCATCCGCACAGCCGAGCACAGCTGAGCAACAGAAAGTGAACCAGGTCACCCAGAACAACATGGGTGGGTCTCAAAAATGTTACCTGAGTGAAGGGAGCCAGTAGCAAAAGGTGAGTGGATAGGAATCCATGCAATGACACTCTCCAAGACAACCATAGAGGAGA